GGTCAACATATTGTCCAAAGCACCTGAAGGCAGGACAAGAAGCAATGGGTGGAAATCAATCAAGGAGAGAATTGAGAAACTTCCTAGCAGTGAGAACAATTAACCAGTGGAACAGCTTGCCACCAGAAGTTATGGGTGCTTCATCACTGGATTCTTTTAAGAAGAGACTGGACAGTTATTTGTCTGTATAGGGTCTCTCCTGCTTGAGCAGGTGGTTGGACTAGAAGACCTCCAAGGTCCCTTCCAGCTCTATTCCGATAGATAGATAGATAGATAGATAGATAGATAGATAGATAGACAGACAGACAGACAGACAGACAGACAGACAGACAAATGATAGATAGATAGACAGACAAATGATAGATAGATAGATAGATAGATAGATAGATAGATAGATAGATGATGGATAGATAGATAGATAATGGATGGATAGATAGATGATGGATAGATAAATAGACAAATGATAGATAGATAGATGATGGATGGATGGATGGATAGATATATACATAGATAAACAAATGATAGATAGATAGATAGATAGATAGATAGATAGATAGATAGATTAGATAGATAGATAGATACATAGATGATGGATAGATATAGATAGGTAGGTAGGTAAATAGACAAATGATAGATAGATATATAGACAGACAAATGATAGATAGATAGATAGATAGATAGAGAATGGATGGATAGACAAATGATAGATAGACAAATGATAGATAGATAGACAGATAGACAAATGATAGATAGATAGATAGATAGATGATGGATGGATGGATAGATATATAGATAGACAAATGATAGATAGACAAATGATAGATAGATAGATAGATAGATAAATAGATAGATAGATAGACAGACAAATGATAGATAGATAGATAGATAGATAGATAGATAGATAGATAGATAGATAGATAGATAGATGATGGATAGATATAGATAGATATATAGGTAGGTAGATAGACAAATGATAGATAGATAGATAGATAGATAGATAGATAGACAGACAGACAAATAGATAGATAGAGGATGGATGGATGGATAGATAGACGATAGATAGATAGATAGATGATAGATAGATAGATGATTGATGGATGGATAGATATATAGATAGACAAATGATAAATAGACAAATGATAGATAGAAAGATAGATAGATAAGTTAGACAAAAGATAGATAGATAGATAGATAGATAGATAGATAAATAGATAGACAGACAGATAGATAGATAGATAGATAGATAGATAGATAGATAGATAGATAAGATAGATAGATAGAGGATGGATGGATGGATGGATAGATAGATGTTGTCAATGTTCCAACACTGGAAGTTTTTAAGAAGAGACTGGACAGGTAAAGGGTCTCCTGTCTCAACAGGGGGTTGGACTAGAAGACCTCCAAGGTCCCTTCCAACTCTTATTGTTTTGTTCTGTTCTGTTCTAAGTCAAGGACTGTCCAGCCACATTCCCAGGTAACTGGGGAAACGGGCTTTGCTGCAGCGAGTTGGGTGAGAGAAAAACTCCTAACCAAGCTCGAGGAACAGGTGAACGAATCTGTCAAACCAAAATCAGTTTATTTGCCAAAAGCCGAGCAACGTGAAGCTGAGAGCATTCCTTCCAGCGTTTCGAGCGGACCGCAAGGCCCTGCCAGCTTTAAATTTCCTGGTGCACGATAAGGCAAAAAGCACAACGAAACCAGGGCAAAGAAACTGGCTTTTGTGTCACCCTCTTGGCACGTCCCAACAGGGGTGCCGAGTGATGTAACTCTGCGGTGGGATTACTTGCAGGGGCGGAGAGAGATGCGGGGGATGGGACGGCAAAGCCGAAAATCTGGCTTCCAGGCCGAGCGATTTCGTCCAACAAGCTTTGCAATTTTTCAGCATCGGATCATGGGAGGCAGCCTCGAACCAGCTGTCGAACTCTCCGGCTGCAAAGATTTAGACGCGTCTTGAGACGGGAGAAGGGCCTGGCGGGGTCAGCTCCCCAGCGCTGTATCGACGTTGCTAGAAAATAAAATATTTGTGGCTACTCCAGCCTGGAGGTGTGATTAGAGGGAAAAGTACATTTTCCTCGGCAGGCACCTCATGATGGGAAAATACCCCGCATCCGCGCTTCCTCTCTTGCCACTTCTAAACCGCCGCGGCTTCAATTTGGCACGTAGAGTGGCCGATTTTCTCCGGAACACCTGTTCGCTGGTGCTGACATCACCGGAGTTGGGAGCCGCGAAAGATTTTTTTCCCCCCCTCCTGTGTCCTTGTGTTTGTTTGAGAGGTTCAGCAGAAAACTTTTTTTCCCTCCCCCGACTTTGATTTTTTTTAAGAAGAGCTACTTAAAAATGGGAAATGCTCCAATTTTGCAAATATATTAAAATTTCTAATAATTTTTGTTATATTGTAAAGTATCATTTGAGTCTACGTTTATCTCAATAAGGGCAGCTGAATGGGAAACATTGGTTAGAGAGAGAAAGACTTTTTTCAAAGATTCGAAGTAGCAGGGCCACACATTTATAAGATGACACAACTGGGTTCCTCCAAGGTGTAGGGTTAATTTAAAGAGGTTGAGTCTTACCTTGAACATGCAATAATATTGGTTAACTGTGAACGTTAAGAATACTCGTTCTACCACTGTGTGCTTAGTTTTATATACTGCAGTGGTGAAATTCAAGGTTTTTTTACTACCAGTTCTGTGGGCGTGGCTTGGTGGGCGTGGCAGGGGAAGGATATTGCAAAATCCCCATTCCCACCCCACTCCAGGGGAATCTCCATCCCCCCCACTCCAGGGGGAAGGATATTGCAAAATCTCCATTCCCACCCCACTCCAGCGGAAAGGATACTGCAAAGTCTCCATCCCCACCCCACTCCAGGGGAAGGATATTGCAAAGTCTCCATCCCCACCCCACTCCAGGGGAAGGATATTGCAAAATCTCCATCCCCACCCCACTCCAGGGGGAAGGATATTGCAAAATCTCCATTCCCACCCCACTCCAGCGGAAAGGATACTGCAAAGTCTCCATCCCCACCCCACTCCAGGGGAAGGATATTGCAAAATCTCCATCCCCACTCCACTCCAGGGGAAGGATATTGCAAAATCTCCATCCCCACCCCACTCCAGGGGGAAGGATATTGCAAAGTCTCCATCCCCATCCCACTCCAGGGGAAGGATATTGCAAAATCCCCATTCCCACCCCACTCCAGGGGAAGGATGTTACAAAATCTTCATTCCCACCCCACTCCAGGGGAAGGATGTTGTAAAATCCCCATTCCCTCTCCACTCCAGGGGAAAGGATACTGCAAAGTCTCCATCCCCCACCCCACTCCAGGGGAAGGATATTGCAAAATCTCCATCCCCACCCCACTCCAGGGGGAAGGATATTGCAAAATCCCCATTCCCACCCCATTCTGGGGGCCAGCCAGAAGTGATATTTGCCGGTTCTCCGAACTACTCAAAATTTCCACTACCGGTTCTCCAGAACCTGTCAGAACCTGCTGGATTTCACCCCTGATATACTGCATTTACAAGCATCAATTTAGCCAATAGTAATATAACAGGATTTGGGGAAAAAAATCTGCATTATAAAAGGGCTCCATAACTTTAAATTTGGAACGATCTAGCAAGGAAGAGAAATACCTAGCAGAAAACCTTTGAAGCACGGCCCAGCTCGTTCCTTAACACACCTCTCAGTTTTCGAAAAATTTGTCGAAAAATTACAGGTGGTCCTCTACTTACAACAGTTCATTTAATGACCGGTTAGTGAAAGTTACAACGGCACTGAAAAAAAGGGACTTAAGACCATTTCAAATTTTATAAATAAATAAATAAATAAATAAATTTCTCACACATACGACCATTGCAGCATTCGGTTTACATTCGAATGCTTGGCAACTGTTCATATTTATGATGGTCGCAGTGTCCCGGGGGGAGGGGCACGCCATCCCCTTTTGCGACCTTCTGACAAAGCAAAGTCAGTGGAGAAGCCGGATTCACTTAACAACCGTTTTACTCACTTAACAACTGCAGCGATTTGCTTAGCAACGGGGGCAAGAGGGGTGGTAAAGCGGGGCAAAGCTCACTTAACAAATTTCTCACTTAGCAACATAAACCTTGGGTTCCATTGTGGTCGTAAGTCGAGGACTTACCTGTACTTCCATCATCAGAGGCGTCCAATCTTGGCAACTTTAAGGCTTGTCGGGCCATCGGAGACCCTGTGCACATCTGTACAATATATAGATAGTCCCCGACTTACAACCATTCGCTTAGTGACTGTTCAAAGTTACGACGGCACAGGAAAAAAAGTGCTTATGACCAGGTTTCACACTTACAACCGCCGTAGCATCCCCGTGGTCACGTGATCAAAATCCAGGCGCTTGGCAACTGGCGTGTATTTATGACGGTTGTAGCATTCCGGGGTTACCCTTTGGGACTTTCCCAGCTGACTTCTGACAAGCAAAATCAACGAAGGGAGCCAGATTCGCTTAACGACCGCATGATGAATGACCGCGTGATGAACGGTTGCAGGAACTGGGCCAAGGAAGGAAGGAAGGAAGGAAGGAAGGAAGGAAGGAAGGAAGGAAGGAAGGAAGGAAAGAAAAAGAAGAAAAGAAAGAAAGGAAGGAAGGGAGAGAAAGAAAGAAAGGAAGGAAGGAAGGAAGAAAGAAAGAAAGAAAGAAAGGGAGGGAGGAAGAGAGAGAGAGAGAGGAAGGAAGGAAGGGAGGAAGGAAGGAAGACATCTGAGTGAACCATGGATGGACAGAAGACATGGATAGTCTAGTGAAGAGAAGGACCAGGGGAGATAGGATAGCATCTTCCAATATTTGAGGGGCTGCCACAGAGAGGAGGGGGTCAAGCTATTTTCCAAAGCACAAGAAAGAAAGAAAGAAGGAAGGAAGGAAGGAAGGAAGGAAGGAAGGAAGGAAGGAAAAAGAAAGAAAAAGAAAGAAAAAGAAAGAAAGAACAGGTTCGCCATCATGATCCTATATAAACAAATTGTTTCTTTTCCAGGATGGCACTCAGGATATTTTCATTGACGGAGTCGTCGCTCGCAACAGAGCCCTGAATGGTGACATCGTAGTGGTGAAGCTGCTTCCGAAGGAACAATGGAAGGTCAGTGTTTCTAATCTCCTACCCGTCCCCATTTTCGTTTCTGGGCGGTTGCACCAACAATAGCAGTTGCATTCGCTCTTAGACTTATATACCACTTCACAGTGCTTAACAGCCCTCTCTAAGCAGTTTACGGAGTCAGCCTATTTGCCCCCAATAATCTGGGTCCTCATTTTACCTTCCTCAGAAGGATGGAAGGCTGAGCCAACCCTGAGCTGGTCAGGATCGAACTTCCTAGTTGTGGGCAGAGTTAGCCTGTAATACTGCTTTCTAATCACTGTTCCACCACAGAAGGGAGGGAGGGAGGAAAGGAAGGAAGGAAGGAAGGAAGGAAGGAAGGAAGGAAGGAAGGAAGGAAGGAAGGAAGGAAGGAAGGAATAGCACTTAGATGTATATGCCACTTCACAATGCTTTATAGCCCTACTCTAAGCAGTTTACAGAGTCAGCCTCTTGCCCCCAACAATCTGGCTCCTCATTTGACCAAGCTGGGAAGGACAGAAGGCTGAGTCAACCTTGAGCCTGGTGAGATTCGAACTGCCAAACTGCAGGCAGCCGGCAGGCAGCAGAAGCAGCCTGCAATACTGCACTCTAACCGCTGCGCCACGGTGGCTCAATGAAGGATTGAAAAAGGATCTCCCATCCTCATTGGGAAGATGGCCCTTGTAGACTAGCCTAATTGAAAGGTGCAAGGCTGCTAATACAGGGAGTCCTCGACTTACGAACACCGTTGAGTCCAACATAAGTGAAACATTGGCGCTGTTCACAACCTTTGTAAAAGCTTGAGCGTTTTACAACTTTTCTTGCCGCAGTCGTTAAGTGAACCACTGCAGTTCTTCAATGAGTAACCCGGTTGTTAAGCGAAGCTGGCTTCCCCACCGATTTTGTTTGTCCGAAGGTCGCAAAACACAACCGCGGGATGCTGCAACCGTCATAAATATGTCAAGCGGCGTATGAGTCTAAGTGCTATTGCTATTGCTACTAACTTAACAGCTGCAGCCATTCACTTAACAACGGTTGTTAAGTGAATCTGGCTTTCCCCCATGACTTTGCTTGTCAGAAGGTCGCAAAAGGCAGTCACATGACCCTGGGACACTGCCGCCGTCATAAATACGAGTCAGCTGCCAAGCGCCTGAATTTGGATCATGGGATGCTGCCACGGTCCTAAGTCCCTTTTTTCAAGTGCTGTTGTAACTTCGAATGGTCGCTAAATGAAACGGTTGTAAGTCGAGGATTACCTTTATGACAAAATAATAATAATAATAATACTGTAACAAAATCAGCTTGAGATTGGTTTCATGGCCTTTTTAGCCCTGACGTGTCTTTTGCTAGCTTGCTGGATTTCCTTGGCATCTTATTCCCTAGACCAGGAGTGTCAAACTCAAGGCCCGGGGGGGGGGCGGATCCGGTCCGTGTGGTGCTACCATCTGGCCCATGGGGTCACCCTGGAAACAGCGAAGGAACTGGCCTGCTGTGCTTCTGCCAGTGAAAACGGAGCTCGGGAAGGCTGTGTGCGGCCCTCCCAAACTCCTTTTTCGGTGGCAGAGAGTTGCAGGAGGCCGTCACAGCCGAAAACGGAACTTGCATGGCCTTCTTGAGCTATGTTTTCACTGGCAGAGGGTTGCAGGAGGTTGTTGCAGCCAACAATGGAGCTTGTGCGGCCCTCCTGAGCTCCGTTTTCCCTGACAGAGGGTTGCAGGAGGCTGTCACAGCCGAAAACAGAACTTGCATGGCCTTCTTGAGCTATGTTTTCACTGGCAGAGGGTTGCAGGAGGCCATCACAGCTGAAAACAGAGCTCGCGCGGCCCTCCTGAGCTCCGTTTTCTCTGGCAGAGGGTTGCAGGAGGCCATTGCGGCTGAAAACGGAGCTCACACGGCCCTCCTGAGCTCCGTTTTCTCTGGCAGAGGGTTGCAGGAGGCCATCGCGGCTGAAAACGGAGCTCACACGGCCCTCCTGAGCTCCGTTTTCTCTGGCAGAGGGTTGCAGGAGGCCATCGCAGCCCGAAAACGGAGCTCACACGGCCCTCCTGAGCTCTGTTTTCGCTGGCAGAGGGTTGCCGGAGGCCGTCACAGCTGAAAACGGAACTTGCATGGCCTTCTTGAGCTATGTTTTCACACTGGCAGAGGATTGCAGGAGGCCGTCACACAGCCAAAAACAGAGCTTGCACAGCCCTCATGAGCTATGTTTTTGCTGACAGAGGGTTGCAGGAGGCCGTTGCAGCCGAAAATAGAGCTCAGGAGCCCATACAGGAGCCCCCAACACAAGTAATGTCGAGCTAGCCACACCTACCCTGGCTACGCCACCTTTCCCCCCCTCCCCCAGATCAAACACAACTGTTGTGGTCCGCCAGCTGACAGCAGAGTCGGACAGTGAGGAGGCTGAGGAAGAACAGGGGCCAGTCCTGGAGGCTGGGGAAGGCCCGGATGAGGGCTCTGTGTCGGAGGCAGGGATGGGGCCAGGGCCATCGGGGAGTGATGTGCGGACTCTGGAGCCTCCAGAGGCTGACAGCAGAGAGGCAGAGGAACAGGAGGAGCCTGTTCCTAGTACATGCATGAGAAGAGCTGCCAGAAGGCAAGAGCAGCTCAAGCAAAGAGGACGACTCAGGAGTAAGGCCAGGAGATGATTGGCCCCTCCCAAAGGCTTAAAACAGACCAGCAACGGCGTTTGGGTTTTGCCGGAAAACAACGTTGGTAGCTTCGTCTTCTTCTTCGTCTACGTCTTGTATTTATTTTTGTGTCTGCGCCACCAAGACCAAGAGCCTTGGTGGCGCAGCAGACTAAAGTGCTATTAAGTAGCACCAGCTGCCTTCAATTACTGCAAATTTGAATCTCACCAGGCTCAAGGTTGACTCAGCCTTCCATCCTTCCGAGGTAGGTAAAATGAGGACCCGGATTGTGGGGACAATAAGCTGACTTTGTATAAAAAAATGAACACCGCTTGGGGGTGGGGGCAAAAGCCCTACTAAGTAGGTACCGTATTTTCCGGCGTATAAGACGACTTTTTAACACATGAAAATCTTCTCAAAAGTCGGGGGTCGTCTTATATGCCGGGTGTCGTTCTCCTGTAACCAGGCAGACCAGCCCGAAAGGCTCTGACGAGCCTTAAATGGCTCTGACGATCCCAGCTCTGTCAATCCCAGCTGAGTTCCCTGCAACTCAGCTGGGATCGCCAGAAACCACGTAAAAGGGAAAAAGTTTTCCCCCTCCAGCTTGCTTACCTCAGCTGCTAGTCGCAACACTTGCCTTGCTTCGCTTGCCTGAATCTATTCAGGCAAGCAAGCAACTCCCTGCCTGCAATCAAGCAAGGAGTTAGTTGTGGACTTCAACTCCCAGAATTCCTCAGCCAGCAAAGCAAAGCTGGCTGAGGAATTCTGGGAGTTGAAGTCTACAAGTCTTAAAGTTGCCAAGGTTGGAGACCCCTGTTCTATTGGGTAAGTTTTTTTCCCCTTTGGGATCTTTTAAAAAAAAATAGTTAATTGGGTTTTTTCTTAGTTGTTCTTTTTTAGACCTAGCCATTAAAGTTTAGGAAGTTTTAAATTTAGCTTTCATATAAAAATAAAAATAAAATAAAATAAAACAATATTTGTGCAGCTTTCTGAAATTTAGTGTGTTTCTGTAGTGTTTCACTCCAACTACACAAACACACAAAATCTCACAAAGCTGTATGTGGAATTTTGTGTGTGTAAAGTGTGAAAGTTGGTTTTTTGGACTTTTTGTGGCTGTGTGAGGTTCCTGCTTGTTGCAGGGGCCATTTTGGGTCTAGCACAGCTGCTTTTACATTGTAGGTGAGCCAGTTGATGTTTTTTAATTTTTATTTGGTGTGCATTGGAAGAGGGGCAGTCTTATATGGCGAGTATAGCCCAAACCCTATATTTTAAGAGGAAAAGTTGGGGGTCGTCTTATACGCCCAGTCGTCTTATACGCCCGAAAAAAAGGTATATACAAAAGTATGAAAGCTATTACTTAACGCATTGTAAGGCGCCCTGAATCTCCGGAGAAGGGCGGCATATAAATCGAACCAATACATAAATAAATAAATAAATATCTGTGACTTCTGAATGTTTGCCGAGAAAGGCCTTTGGCAGTTTGCCTAATTGGACCAAGGTTTGCGATAGGACTGAGGAATTTGTGTTGGGAGGAATTTGCTTTAATTTAGTCGAATGACGCTGGGAATGAAGTCATTCTCAGCTGTTCGAATAAATTTGTTTGTTTTTTCACGGACTGATTTTCCTACTCCTTACTTGGGCCTGGGTCACAACAACAACCCTGATTCGGCCCTCAGTGAAATTGAGTTTGACACCCCTTCCCTACAGACCGACATTCCTGAAAGACCCTTCAGTGGGTTCGCCGTCAGTGCTTTGAAGCAACCGTAAATAAACTCACCTCATTTTGAGGCTGGCAACCAAAGATTGTTGTGGTAAACCCTGAGAGGGAAGCCGGGTTTATTTTCCTAAGCAATAGGATGTGTTGGGGTGATAATTCCACTCTTGGCAAGTGCCGAACAAGGGAATTCGCTTTGAGAGAATGGAATATTAGGTGAGAATTAATTCTGCGTCAAGCTTTGCCCTCTTTCGCAACGTGAAGTGATGCGTAGACGAGTGTCCTAAATACTAGAAATTGTTTGCTTCCTTGAGCAATCACATTTCCCCCCCCCCAATTTTTTATTGATTTATTTATTTCAGAATATTTATATTGATAGTCATTGTGTCTTCTGGAACCAATTAAGGATGAATACCGTGGTGAAATGCTCCCGGTTCGGACCGGATCGCCTGATCCGGTAGCGATGGAGGCGGATGGTTCGGAGAACCGGTAGCAAAAATCCCTGCCCCCCCCCCATTGCCCGGCTGAGCCGCACAATCATCAGAGGCTTTTTTTTTTACTTTTAAAAGCATTTTTTCTATAACCTCTTCGGCCGAAAAAAATGCTTTTTAAAAAGTAAAAAAAAAAAAGCCTCTGATGATCGCGCAGCTCACCTGGGATCATCAAAGGCTTTTAAAAGCATTTTT